ACACAAATATTAAGTCTTATTAATCAATATGCACTGAAGGAAAACATCGAATAGCTGTGGATAGGGAGAGTATTCAAAAATTAGTTTCGTACAGTTTAAAACAAATGTAATATCCATATCTCATTAATCAATTAATATTTTATTTTACAATATAATATTTTATACAATTGTTATTCAGACTCAGAAGGGCTAGAACCCAGAGCCGTAAAGCCAGTTAAAAAAAACAGTTGTTATATATGATTGAAAAAAAAACTAAAACTAGAAACTTAATTATCATACTAGTCCTACTCCCCGCGGTATCGTGCCAAGAACGCTGACTGCGTTTCCTCGCTGAATGGCTATACTTAGCGTTTGAGCGAGAAAAGAACCAGCCTTCTTATCACCAGCAGCAACGACCAGCCATTAATCAATATGCAGCAAAGGAAAACATCGTGAGGAAACCTGCATGTCTGAGGAATAAGAAAAAATATTTCTAAGACATGCGAGTCTAAACCTCTCTCAGAAATGAGAGGAGGCCTGTGCCCAGCGGTGCGTATGTATATAGGCTGTTACTTTACTTTACTTTAGGTTTAAAGATCTTTATTACTCATTAAGATAAATGCATGTCATTTACATACAGGACATGAGTACATAAATGAAGTTAAATTCCACAGTCATTCGTCAAATTAAATTCACCAAAAAAACATAAACTTCACCCGCGCAACGCGTTCACGATTATTTAAGTGAGTAATTTGCAACAAGATATTCATACAATTATTTCTTGAATGCGTTTAATGAGTTAACAATTTTTTATGTATGTGGGTAATTTGTAATAACTTTATAATAATTGTGCTTAATAATAATTGGATAATAACTTTATAACAAATGACAATATTGTGTTACCGTAATTTGTTCGAGTCTTGGGCAGGACGAGAAAACTCCTGCGACGCGAGCAGCACCGGTTGTACACCTTTTTACGTTTTAATTGTAAGATAGTATGAATATCATTATTTAGAGCATTTCTTATAAAAATTTAAAAAATTTTTGTATATGTACCTGCAGTTTTGTAAATATACATTTTTTAATATTCAATATTTTTGGTTGATTTCTTTAATCAATAAGCTCCACTAAAAACAGTAAGTGTCAAAAAATGTCAGCACCCTTGGGTGACATAAAACGTTAGACAGATGATGAAAATCCGTGATGAATGAGGCACACAAAAAAGGCACAATATTGAGCGCGTAAACCGTTTAGCATATCAATGTACTCTAAATAATGTACGCACGTTTGGTGTTTCAGGATAATGGAATAGATAATATAAATCCTGTTCACAAAAGTTCAGGAAAGAGGTGTTCTTTGGGACAAAAATTTTCTTTTCATGGCTTTTTTCTTTGTTTTCTTCTTAAATAATACATCACAACAAAAGCTTTTGAAAAAAGCGTTGATGTCCATCGTGTATAGTCGCCTCGTATAGACCGCCAAAAAATGGCTCCAGCTTCAATCGGGTTCGACAACCGAGTGGTGTGAACAGAGGTGCCAACATCCGACAAACGGGAACTAGCTATAAATATTCATCATCATCATCATCATTACAGCCTTTCATAAGTCCACTGCTGAACATAGGCCTCCCCCAAGGAATGCCATAAAGTACGGTCCTGAGCCACCTGCAAGCATCGACTTCCTGCATGTCTTACCAGGTCGCCACTCCATCTAGTGGGGGTCGCCCTACACTTGCCTACCGGTACGAGGCTGCCAGTTGAGAACCTTTCTTCCCCATCGGTTGTCGGTTCTTCGAGCTATATGGCCGGCCCACTGCCACTTCAGCTTACTGCTCCGTTGGGCTGTGTCGGTTACTCTGGTTTTACTGCGGATATCCTCATTTCTAAGTATATCACGCAGAGAAACCCCGAGCATAGCCCTCTCCATAGCTCGCTGAGCGACCTTGAGCTTCCTCATACGACCAGCAGTAAAAATATTCATACCCTCTATCTATTAGTTCAACAATTTACTTGGTGTTACACCTCTAAGCGAGGCATCCTATATGCCTCGTTTAGAGGTGTAACACGTGTCGTATTATCGATAATGTTTTTTTTTAAATTGTTTTATAGGATAGAGTGACAAGTGAGCAAACAGTCCAACTGATGGTAAGTGGTTACTGTGACTCATAGACATCTACATCTAGCCTCAATAAAGAATCATATAATAACCATGTCACACGACTTACTGGTCATATCAGAAAACTTATATACATCTTTAAAACCTTAATGAAAGGTTTTTTGCACAATAAGGGTGACAAATAAGCACACAGTCCAACTGATGGTTAGTGGTTGCTGAGGCACGTAGACATCTACATATATCCTCTATTACGAATCAAAACGTAAATGCATCGTCAATGTTGAACAAGGGTGAATATTTAAACCCAAAACAATCTGTTTTCCTATGAATTAAACAAATAAAACTTAGTTTTGTTTATCGATTTCTTAATTAGTAGTTAAATACCGTAATGAAATTTGCTGTCGTACATACGATATGGTCGTATCATTAAAGTGTAGAAAAAAGATAAAGTGAAATTATTTAAGTAAATTTTTTTTAATTTGTTTTATTTGTATTAAAAGTACCCGCAAGTATTTTCATTATTTCTTGACGTACCTAAATATGTTAACAAATGCCAAAAGGAATGTTGGAGGCTTTCTAATTAACTTGTTCAAGTTTTGTTGTAATTTGATAGTTCACGTGAAACATGATTATCGTTTGCTATATTTTGAAATTCAAAACGTTTAAGGGTTGTACTACAATAAAGGATTAACTTTAACACGCTATGGATTGGAAATAATAAGTGATATTTTTGTGTTCTAATGTGTTGATCACTGTTGCAGTTTGCTCCGAATATTGTGTCGTTGACAAGATTGGAGTTTGATGTCGAGGGATTCGTAGAAGTCTCTACAACAATGATCAATGAGGAAGACGTTGTGATGGCTAATCGAACATGGTCAGGTACGGCCAAGCGCTGGTTAGATTAAGCCTACACCGCTACAGTCGGTTACTTATCGGCTGATCTTACGGCAGGGCAATTCAAGCGGCCGCCGAACAAATGGTGCTTTGGCGCTGTAAATGGACGGCTTTCGTAGATTTTGCGCAGTTGCCTCCTTCGCTTCGAAATATGTTGTGGTATTTGTCTCTACACATAGTTTCCATTTTTTTGCAATGTTTTCAAATGTCATACAGTTGCCGTTTCTTAAGAGAATATGTGATTAATTTTGGAAGCTCGGAATTCCATGGTTCGCAATACATTTATCTCGATTTCTTTTAATTTTGCAAAGCAGTGCGACGATTCGCTAGCGCTAGTACGGCGCGACGGCTTGCTGGCGCGAATGTGGCACGAACGCAGCAGAACGAAAATCTGTAGTGCGTTTGCCTGGACGTAGCCATATCGGCGCGTTCCAGACTTAAATGAAGTCTGGGATGGTCGACCGTTGTAATATTTAACAAGAGTTAATATCTGTTAGCAGGTAGTGATAACTGATAGACCGTATGCTGTTCACTGTCTACCGCACGAGGACGTGTGACAGTCAGAGGTAACCTTATCTGTGCGTCTAGAAAATACTAGAGACGTTGCAACACTCTAGCGAAGTAATTATTCTAGTGCAGGAAAGGAACATGAAGTTGCAGGGAGGCTGATCTGTGCTGCACTGGGATATATGTCGAGTTGCTGTTGGTTTACATACTTAGATATTATCGTGTCACTACGTCCCTCACGATACACTTTTGTGTGATTGTGATGGGGACATGTTTGCGGTATGGTTGGTCTGTAACTGTTCTATACTGAATTGAAAAAAAAAGAGAGTAAGAAAAAAAATGTGATTCTTACTATCATTGCAGGGCGTTTGCCGGTCCAATGATATAGCTACAGGGAATAGTGATTCCGGACTAGCATAAATAGTACCGAAAAAAAAAGAGATTAAGAAAAAAGAATAGGTCTTACCATCATTGCAGGGCTTTGTGCCGGTCCAGTGATATAGCTATAGGGAATAGTGATTCCGGACTAGTGAAAACAGTACTTGAAAAAAAAAGAGAAAATAGAAAAAGCTACAGACTAATCATTCCGATCTAACATAAAGATGATTAAAGTTTTGTAGGGCTTACTGCCGGAACAAAACTGATTGTCACCTTAGTCTGAAGGGTCAATATAGACCGGACCAGACGCTGTCTTGTCAGGAGAATCGACCGATGTTTTTCTGTCTACAGATAACTAAGATTGTGATGGAGCGCGTGCGAGGACGCACGCATGTCAGTATGGCCGTGACGGCACGTGCACCATTGCACGTGCGGCGGCGTCGATGTAGCTAGACAGAATTCTTGTAAATGACACGTGCTCCGCACACCTGCACCATTGCACCTGCGGTGGCGCCCGTTTAGCTTGTATAAAACGGACGGAGCTGCCGCCGTTAGGACAGTCTTGGCTCTGACGTGGAACGGTGCGCTTGTCGTATTCCGTTACTAGTTTATTCTCGACTCGTTGGATAATTAATTCGTGTAAACGAATTAATATTATAAATTATATTATGATTTATGCTTTCCGACAATAGAGATAAGAATGTCTTTAAAAACAAAACCGAAATGGATTACAAAAGGAATAAAGTTGTGTAGCCGCAAAACAGGAATCAGTTATGGAAATTTCGCCTTTATCCTAATAAAGACTCAAAAGAAAAATTTAAATGACGTGTGATTGCCGACGAACAGGGCTCGGATAACGGTATATTTTTCGAAACGTTTTCACCTTTAATACCTAAAAACTTATTTGTTTCGTTTATGTTCGAACGGAATCATAATAAAAATGTTTATTCAAATTCAAATTCATTTAACTTCAGACAACAATGATCCATGGGTTAGTATTACATTATCGCTTATAAACTAAGTGTTAGTACTTATAAAAAATTTAATTAAATTATATTCAAACTAAAATCATATTAATTCAAATGAAATCAAATCAAATCAGAAATAAAATTATATTAACTTAAATTCTAATTTGTCATGTACCTGAGAGGCACTCCGTGCGGTCGACACCTAGAAGAATAACCATCCTCTGTATGAGTCATCGTTCGCACGAAGTGCCTCACAATAGGCGCATGCGGATCATCTGCCACCGTTCTCAGGATGCTGTTGTCACTTCTCCGTATCCTTCCTATCAGCGACGCTACTTTTTTCCGAACTATGGCATGAAAACCATCAGTTCTGGTCTGTGCAAACATGCCAGAAGCACTACAGAAGCGGGGGAGTGCCAACATCATCCTGAAAACGTTATTGTACTGGACTCGCAGGGTGTTTAACGATTTTTTGGCATACCTAATCCACAGACCACCCGTGTACAGACCCTGGCAATACGCTTTAAATAATGTTATCTTGACCTGGTCCGAACAGCGGGCAAATCTACGAGCCAGCATATTGCCGCGCACCGCCAAAGCCCTACGCTCCCTCTCTATGTCTAGATCATCCTTAAGGTCGTCGGCAAGAATATGCCCTAGGTATTTAAACTGATAAACCCGCTTTAGCTCCGATCCATTTAAGTTTATTGCAGGGATAGATTCCGGACACCTGCCAGCGACCCTAAAGACCATGTATTGACTTTTTTCAGTGTTGTATACGAGACCATGCGAGGCAGCGTAAGTCTCGCAGACCTTCAACATCTCTCTTATCGCATTTACAGTGGGACCCAGCAACACCATGTCATCCGCATAGCTGATGCTATTGATACAAACACCACCCACACGGCATCCAACACGCATGCTGCTGAGCTCCACTAAGAGATCGTTAACATACAGGTTGAAGAGCTTCGGAGACGATAACCCTCCCTGCCTCACTCCGCACTCCAATCTGTACGACTCGGAGAGACTGTTTGACCATTTAACATGATTGGTCTGATTTGCATACCAATACCGAAAGATATTGATTATCTCTGCTGGAATACCCCTGTCCTCCATCTTCCTCCAAAGTACATCATATGAGACGAGATCGAAGGCTTTGGAGAGGTCCAGAAAACAGGCGTAAACAGGAGTTCTCCGGTCTGTGTAATATTGCACAGTATGCTTGAGGCTCAAAATTGCGCTTTCAGTCGATAGTCCGGGCCGGAAACCGAACTGCGCATCGTGTAGGTGTAAGTAATTTTGTAAGCAAGAGTCAAGCAGACTATCCAATATCTTAGCTATCGTAGTAGCGAGGGAGATTGGGCGATAGTTTCTCTTATCCGAGATATCTCCTGTCCTGTTCTTCACTATGGGCACAACAGTAGTTTTCATTAGATCAGCTGGTAAGTATGAGTGGCTGATGCACATATTGAAAAACAGGGACAGGACCCTCGGCAAATGCACCCCTGCATATTTAAGGTGCTCGATACTAAGCCCGTCGTGACCGGGAGACTTTCCTCTGCTCATCCCTTTTATTACATCTTTTACTTGGCCGGTTGTAAACAAAAGCAACGGTCTCTCCCCGTGCACGGCGGGCCCAGACTCGGTCCTGGTAGCAGATGGACCAAGTGGAGACCTCACCTTAAAATGCTCCATGAGCAAATTTGCGATATCCCCCGGATCATTTTTGCTATCGACACTCGCCGGGAGTCCAGGCCTAACATTCAGTTTCCCTGTGGATTTCCAGAACTTACTGAAATTCTGTTCCGCTCTTAGTTTTGCTATTTGGTCCATTTTTATTTGCTCCTGGTTATTTAAGCACCATTTGAGTCTGCCTTTAAAGATCTTACGAGATTCACACATTTGCTCATATATTAGGCCAGAAGGAGGTCGACTATGCAAAACCCAGTTTTGGAAACGAAGCCTGGCCTCCCGGTGAGCTTCCCTAACGTACTTGTTCCACCCACTCAAGACCTTGTTCCTCCGTGGTTTATCTCTAAGCTGGGGCTTGGTCTGAACGGCTGCGTCTTGCAGAATATCCACAATACGTTTATAAAAGCTGTCCAAAACTAACTTGTGGTTTTCCAAGCTGCATGACCCATGGCTGCATTTCCCAAACTCAGGAGGAAAGTCGACCTCCCGTAAGCTGTTATTACATAGGTTGCGGTATCTATTTATCTGAGATTCATCTCTTTCGCCCCAAATCACTGCACTACGCCGCACTTCATGAATCAACAGCTTAGGCCTTACAGTGTTTAGGTTACATTCCAGATAAATGGGCAGATGATCCGAAACAAACACATCTTCCAAAATCCCTACATTTACAATGGTTTGCCGGGCTGATAGGGAGACCACACAGTGATCAAGCCAGCTCCTACTTCCATGGTACGGGTCAGTAAATGTGTACGAGTCGGTTTTTAATATTTCTCCATCCGTGTGATTTTATGTAGAGTTGTAGTAGTGTGTAGTATGTGAGTGTGTAGTATGTGAGTTTATGTAGAGAACGAAGTTTTAAATCCATCTTGTTCAATAATACGTTTTTAACCATTTTAAACAGTTTTTTTTTTTCATTTTCGGCCCTGCAATACGAAACAAAAATACCTTATAGGTTTAAACATGTTGTGGCACGCGCCATTCATATAGCTTCCTGCGGAATAAACCGTTTTTTACGTTTTCACATCACGTGTTAGAGCCATGCTGCAGCTATATTACTGGTATAGTTGTAACACGAATGGGTCGCCTCGACCGAGGAAGGAATACGCTCTTACAGAATACCAGCGTAAAATAGCAGCTTAATGCTGCTGTGTTTCGTATGGTGAGTGTAAAGAACCGGAGACCCTTTTTACTGGAAAAGAGGCATTGCATCAGAGTCCTCGCGGGTGACAACGCATCTGCGTTTTGATTCGTTATCGAGAATAGATGCAGATGTCTATGGGCCACAGCAACCACTTACTATCAGGTGGAAAAACCGTTCTCATTTCGTTTTAGTTCCGAACAAAATGTTGTACAACGAACCGTCCCATACGTTTTAAAAACGTTAGTTTTAATAACGTTTCCCAACACTGCCGACGAAGTCACACAAGTAATTAATAGCTTTAAAAAGAAATTAGCACCCGGCTCCGGTGGCATTAGCAACAGGGTACTGAAATTTCTCTCCGCGCCGCTCGTTTGCCTTCTAGCAAGCATATTCAGCGCTCATTTTTTCAGCTGCTTCTTCCCGGATGCATCGAAAGAGGCAGACGTATTAAGAATCCTGAAACCGGAGAAACCGCGCAACTTAGCCTCTAGTTACTGACAAATCAGTCTTCTCAGCACACTGGGGAAAGCTTACGAGCGACTCATATTGCATCGCCTCCGTAAACACGTGTTCAGCAACAAACTTCTTCCAGAAGAGCAGTTCGGCTTCAGACCCGAACACTCGAGCACTGAAAAATTACATCGCCTCACAAAATACATTCTGAAAGGATTCAACCTCCCATGAAGAAGTCGCAGAACTACCATAACCGGTGTCCTCTACTTTAATGTCGCAAATGCGTTTGACAAAGTCTGGCATGACGGCTTGCTTTACAAGTTGCACAAACTGAACGTGCCAGACATCATCCACCCACATCATCACAACCTTCCTTGCCAATGGCCACTTTCTTTATCGAAAGTCCCCTCAAAGCTGGAGTCCCATCGGGCTCCGTCCTCTCCCCACTTCTCTTTACACTCTTCACGAGTGACATCCCTAAGGACCCAGTAGTGAATACTGTCCTTTTCGCCGATGATATGGCAATTTTCGTCACCCATAATAATAAAAGAATCCTCACCGAGATGCTCCAAGCAGCCGTCAATCGCTTAGGCGATTGGGTCCGCTTATGAAGAAATAAATAAATCCTGAAAAAAGTGTAGCAATACACTTTCAAAGATCCCGTCTTACAATCGTAAATGCAAAAACCCAAAAAAGGCAATAGATACGATCAACCTGTACGGCCGCCAGATTCCCTGGCTGACAGCCAAATATCTAGGGGTCACATTCGACCACGGTATGACATTCGCGAAACACATTCGCAATGTCCGCAATCGTGCAAAATTCGTCACTAGCCGTCTCCACCCGCTAGTTAACCGCAGGAGTAAATTGCCCTTGAGACGCAATCTCCACCTTTACAAAGCATGCGTAAGACCTATCATGGCTTACGCAAGCGTAGTTTTCGCGCACATAAACTATAGTAATTTGTACCACCTGCAAGTCGTCCAAATTAGATTCATTCGTATAGCCACCGGCGCTCGGTGGTACCAGCGAAACTCCGACTTACAGAGAGACAGTCAACTTCCGACGATCTCTGAATATTTCATGGATATGTCTCGGCGCTATTTCGAGAGGGCCGAGACACATCCCAACCCGCTTGTGGTAAACACAGCCACCTTAGCTCCGACTCTGAACGTTGTGCAAACCCTCTGGAGGCCCCGCAGCATTCTAATTGAACCTCCTGTTCGACTAGATCTGACGACCTAAATGTCGCCGGCCAGTCACACACAAACATTACACAATCACCTAGTGACACAAACACTGCTAGGGCAGCAACGGATGGGATAGAGCCAGTCCGCGCACGAGCCGCACACCCCTCCACACCGCGTACACACCGTACATCCACCCGCGTCCCTGGGCGGTTCTCGCCACCTAGAACATCGAAAGATACGAGTTAGCCCTTAAAGCCGGGGCCCGTCACCCCCTGTTCGGATGTCCGTTAGACAACTCATCCATTTTATGTTAATGTGATCACAGAACTGAACACAATATTATCCCCCTAGGATTATCGAGCCGCATAGGCTAACAGCATTAACATCACAGAATCTAGATCAACCCGTGCGTGACGCGCTGTTGACTGCTGTCACTACTTACGACATAAAGAACCCAACTAACACGCTCACCACTTCACACATAGTCTCTGAAGGATCAAGCACTCCCATTTTGTTGCAGGACATATTTCACACAGCAATAAATTATGAGCAAGCAAGCATACAACTGCAAGACTTCAAGATACTGTAAGTTCATACTGCGTATATCAGAATAAAATTAATAATTTTTAATCTGGAGGTAGCCGTGGTTAACTATGACATTGGGACCTCTTAGTCCCCCCTCCCCCCGTGACCATGGGTGCTGTAAATTACTCGAAAGTCGGGAATGTAAATTAGTTAATATACGCGGTTAAATCTGAAGTGATGTGGGGAGATTCTTAATAAATTACTCACCAATCACTTTTTATAAAAGTTTATTATAAGCAGAAGAGTTCACACAATTAAATATTTCATATATGCTATAGTTCACAGCTACAATAATTCACGAATACAATTGTTCACAAATATAATAGTTCACATATAAAATACTGTTTATAATTTAGCACAAAACATAGCACAGAAGTTAATAGCATGAGAAGGAAGCAAAAGTTCCAAAACAAATAGCAAAAACCAAACAAAAGCCGGACGCAAGCGTCATACGTCTAATCGTCACAGATTATTAATTTTTGATTGTTTATTTTTCTTTTTCAGATTAATGACGCCACAAATCCGTAAAACTAGTTTTATTTAAATGCTTCGTCAAATCAATTTGTCAAAAACTTATTATTTGAAAGTCCTCTGATATATGTCATTTTAGGTCTCAATTTCGAGATTTTTGTAATAATATAAATACACAAACACAAAACAAACAAAAAATTGGTTCACATGTTTTGAATTAAAACCCAAAAAATTATTGCTATTGCAACATGGTAACCGAAATGTATTTGTTTTCGGTACTTAATAGAAAACCTTACATTTCGTCTCCTCGCGCATAGCGAAGTTAGCGTATTGAGAACACAGAAAGAGATCCCATAAGCACACCCCGCACATATAGTGTTGTCTTCAATCGTTCCGTGACACACTGACCCTTTCTGAAAGAGACGCCGGTGTTGAGCACGGTGTAAACATATTTTCTGTACATGGGAGAATTTAGAGGATGCTTTATGTATTTTTTCGAAGATCTTCAACTGTGTACACACAAATATCTAGTCAAGTATTATTAATCAAGAAGCTAAAGTTTTATTGCGTCAATGTCAACATGGTGCTAAATTGTATTATTTCATATAACTGATGTAAAAGAACGTAGAACGCTATAATCAATGGTGAAAATTCTTCCTGTACTAATGATATAGTTTTAAAACTTAAACAGCAATCATTTAAATGTTATGACGAAGTGAATAAAGCCATATCAAAATTAGTGCATTGGTTTAACCTTCATAATCTACATTTTAAAATTCAATAAAACGAAATGTACGAAATTAACAACAATAATTGTTAAAATCACACTATAATAGCTATTTATAACCTAAAACTGATAGTCTCTCAGGACCGTGCTTTGTAGCATTCCTTGGGGAAGGCATTGAACATATTCATAGATATTCAGCAGAAGATAAGGAGCTTTACTTGTGGTAGAGCCATGCTGCGGCTATATTACTGGTATAGTTTAACACGAATGGGTCGGCTCGACCGGGGAAGGACCACGCTCTCACAGAATACCAGAGTAAAATAGCAGCTTAACACTGCTGTGTTTCGTATGGTGAGTGTAGATTACCGGAGACCCGTTTTACCAGAAAAGAGGCATTCCATCTTAGTCACTCACGGGCGACAACGCATCTGCATTTTGATTCTTTATTGAGGATAGATGTGGATGTCTATGGGTCACAGCAACCACTTACCATCAGGTGGACTGTGTGCTCGTTTGTCACCCTATCCTATAAAAAAGGGGGACTTGTAATAGGTTGTGATGATGATGATACAGTACATATGTACCTATGTACTTTACCACCTTAAGACTATCGTAAAAAATACTTCCTTAGAAATAACACAACCTTTAAATTGTTTTAGCCTAACTACATTTGTAGTCTTGACGTTTACTAGCGGTGTATGAATATCCACTACCCCATATTATTCCGTGGGTGTCCTAAGAGGCGACAGAGGAAAACGGTGTTTTTGGATATGGATTATTGCAAATCTGTTTGCTTTGAACCTATCGAGGTTAATACTGAAAGAAATTTTAAGTATTGGTTACAGACAAAATTATTTAAATTATATAAAGAACGCTGCTTATGTAATAGGAAACTAAAAATTGTATTCAAAATGTGATAAAGCGTGTCAAACAGATTTTTGTAATATGGCGAAGGAAGGATCAGCGGGTAATGACGGGTTCATGATTCTTCAAAGTTTTTTCGTAGTCCAAAATAATCTGTATCTCTTGCATCAAAACATAAATGGAATTATTAACAAATCCGACTTACTTGCTGTGTGTTTATCGG